ACACACACACACACACACACACACACATACAGTACACACACACATACAAACACATAATCTATAACCTTCATATATCATGTAGAGACAGAAATGCAGTTTTCCATATCAGTTTTGCTTGTTGTTTTATGATGTGTGTTCCAGGAGAGAAAACACAAGTAGTTTGCTGCAGCATTCATGAGGATTTATTCCTCTCAGTCCCTCTACACACACACTTACAGAGTAGAAATAATGTTCATCATTAATGGCTTTGTTGTGTGGGAATGCTTTAATATTTCTGCACATATTAATCATTTATGACACTCTGTTTCTCTCTCTGCACCTTTTTAACAGCCCTTCCGAACACACTCTCTTTCACACACATACACACACACACACACACAGACACACATTATTGCTAAGGCAAGCATCACTATTACTACTCATTATTACTCATACATAGTGTTAGAGATTTGAACTGCAAACTCTTAAGTATTAAATTTTGGCATAACTTTGCACTACTTAATGGATATGAATGATACCATCCTAGTAAACGCATGTTAAAAACACTCTAAACACCCCAGCAACCACATTGCAATGAGTTAAAAACACTCAGAACACCTAATAAGTGTGTAGCAACGAGCTAAAACCACCGTTCAACCGTTTAGCAACATCACTAAAAAACACTCAATATATCCTAGCAACCGCATAGCAACCACCTATTTATCAGCCACCACACACCCAAGCAGCAGTCACCTATGGAGTGAATAATGTGCCGAAATCAAACAAACAAATCCAGTATTTTGCAAACAAACTTCATCTGCTTTGCAAAGGAAAACTCGACTTGAAATCAAACAGAAAGACATTTGCAAATACAATGGTCAGAGTGAGCGAAATCGCAGAGGTGTAACAAATAAACGTATTGTGCTTTACAAATATAAATGCATGAGCGTACATCATATTTCACAAATACAATCAATGCTACAAATTGCATGTAACCTTTGAACAAATACCAAAATTAGTGCATACAAATGCTGGTCTGATTGATTGTGAGACACTCGCACTTTTATGCGATCTCTTGGCTTGATTTTCTCACAAATGTGTCCAGGCAGATTTTCTCACAAATGCAGTTGAGCATTTGAACCATGTAAGTATGATTTTGTAACTCTGATGAGAGCACTCTCAGTACTATGGTGCAGTCCATAACCTGACTGGAAGTCCTCACAGATATCATTTTTCTCAAGGAAGGAACATAGTTCTGAGGATACTGCCTTTGATTTATTGTAAAACATAATCAGACACTCACACTTGATCATTTTCCTCTCTCTTTCCTCTTTCCTCTTTCCTCTCATACATTCTCATTTCTGTAGGGACTGAATCAGCTGCAAACCTCCAGAACAGAACCCTGACAGTTTCATTGTTGCTTTATTTTACTCTCAATAAGTCACTATATCAGCAGCTTTCACATCCTCCTGTGTGTCTTGCTCAATAGCAGTATATTTTTCAACCCAAAATCACAGACATTGTGTTTCTGAGTTTCTGTCTCTGTCTCTATAGAAAGTGGGTGAGTCTGTTGTAATCACTTTCTCTCTCTCACTCTCTCTCTCTCTCTCTCTCTCTCTCTCTCTCTCTCTCTCACTCTTATCAGATAAAACACACTGCAGCACAGAACTCTCATTCAATTCATTAGAAACATGCCTAAACTTACTGACCCCTTTGTTTTAACCCCAAAAAATTCTGTATTAAAATAATTAAATGTATTACATTTATAAAATTTTCACAATTTACACATTTCTTTAGTATTTTTACAGATTTCACCTTAAAGGGATAGTTCAGCCAAAAGTGAAAATGTTATCATCATTTACTCACCCGCAAGTTGTTCCAAACCTGCATAAGTTTCTTTCTTATGTTGAGCACAAAAAAGATATTTTGAAGAATGTTGGTAACCAAACAGTTGACGGTAGCCATCAGGGCCGGATTTATGCATAAGCATTCTAGGCACGTGCCTATGCTCGCTCTTCCAGGGGGGCCCAAACACAATGAAGAGAAGAGATATATAATATTTTTGTTATACTATGGGCTATATGAGAAAATAAATATAACAAACAATAGGTTAAAAAATGACAAAGTATTTCCATGTCTTCCACCTTTTTTATGTAGACTACGGAAATAACGCTTTCTTTCTCCGGTTCTCTCTCACAGGCGCACACACACGCACTCGCTCACACACGTGGAGATGTGACCAGAAACTTGTTGTCAGCGCTGCCCCGCAAATTTAAAACAGTTTTGCAGCTGAAAAGCTACATGACATTTCTCAGTGGCGAGGTTCTTGAAGCAGTTTAACTTAAAGATTCACTATTAGTAGACGCTGCTGCTGAACATTGCTGAGAGACGCACAGACGCAGGTATTCACACGCGCTTAATGTCTCTCTCTCTCTCTCTCTCTCTCTCTCTCTCTCGCTAAGTGCGTTAGACTGCATTAATAACTGCATTAGCCTGCATATCAATGGCTCAAGCCTCTGTTATTAACTCTAAAATGACGTTTTGGAATTTTCAATGGAAGGTTTATGAGGTGCGTAAAAAATAGTTAAACACACACAAGATTTCAGGACGGAAACATAACAAATGTTTTGAAATAAATCAATGTCTTGATGTGTGGTGGTGACTCCAGGCCGTTAAAATGATTAGAGAGACAATGCACTCCTGAAGTGGTTATGTGGCCACGTCGCCGCGCTTATTAATAATGGAATGGTCTTTCTTAGTTCTCAAGCAAATTAAGAACTACATTCGATTTTTATTGACTGCAACGCAAGAAAACACTGTAACGGTTTCACTGTTAAAGAAATATTTTTGTTTGCTTGGGTGGTAACTAATGTTAGGCTATTATATTAATAGGGAAGGGGGGCCCAAAAATTAGTTTTGCCTATGTCACGAAAAGAGGTAAATCCGGCCCTGGTAGCCATTGACTTCCATAATATGGAGAAGAAAAAATGTCTTATGTGAAGTTAATGGCTACCAGCAACTGACTGGTTGCCAAAATTCTTCAAAATATATTTTTTGTGCTCAACAGAAGAAAGAAACTCTTACAGATTTGGAACAGCTTGAGGGTGAGTAAAAGATGACAAGATTTTAATTGTTGGGTGAATTATTCCTTAGATAATTAGAAGAATATAAATGTATTTAAATGACCCAGATCATCAGTTTAACTCGAGTCCAGGTTGGGAGCGATCTGTGAATGGCAGGAAGCACGCTTCGGCTCCCACAGAGGGTCACGTCGTGGTGAGAGGTCAGAGATCACACTGACCATTAGTGTCTTGAGTTACAGGAGCGCAAGAGAGCACGAATGTACTCAGAGGGGGTGCTGTGTGTAAAACCATGTCACATCAGCAGGAAATGCCTCATGTTTCGAGTGGTTTTGTTGGAGCTGATGCTGTAGGAGTCAACTAAATGAATCTAAATGAGTCATGCAAAAGTTACTCTAGGATGAAACCGGGGGGAAGAGGTTTTTAAAATGCATTTTAAAGGCATTTCAAAGGTATTCATAATACATTATAATATGTATTCATTGTGACAGTAATAATAACAGGATTATAAAATAAATTATATAAAAACATATTATATAAATAACAACAATAATGCATTATAGTCTTTAAATGCATTAACATAGATAGAATAGTGTATTATAATGTATATTTAGATTTATGTACATTGGATTACAATTACTGATAAGAACATACAACTGATTATAAGTTTTGTTATAAGGCATTATGAATGCATTAAACACACTGTAACAAATATCTTTTGAAGTATTTTTTGAGAATTATTATATAAATAGTGCTGTCAAATGATAAATTGCGATTAATCACATCCAAACTAAAAGTTTTTGTCTACATAATATATATATGTGTAGTGTGCATATTTATTATGTATATATAAATACACACACATACAGTATATATTTTGGAAATAGTTACATGCATATACAGTTATGTATTTATATTCTTATATTTTATATTATATATAAATATATTTAATATATAAACATAACATATTTTTCTTAAACATATACATGCATGTGTTCGTATTTATAGATACATAATAAATATACACAGTACACACACATATGTTATGTAAACAAAAACGTTTATTTTGGATGCAATTAATCGCGATTAATCGTTTGACAGCACTAAGTATATTATATTACATTATATTATATTATATTATATTATATTATATTATATTATATTATCCATAACTGAACTGAACACACAACAGCTTTTACAATAATTCACTGGTAAATGTATTACAGTACACGTAAACACAATAATTTCAATAATGTGTGTGTGTCTGTGTCTGTGTCTGTCTGTGTGTGTGTGTGTGTCGAGTAGTTACGTTTTAGTTAATGTTTCTGTTGTCTTGTGATTGGTTGCTCAGAAAGTGATATATATATATACAGTGGGTACGGAAAGTATTCAGACCCCCTTAAATTTTTCTCTCTCTCAGTGGGGCCTCACATTGGTCGATACTGTGGTTCCAGACAGCCAGGTCGTTTGATCTCGTACACCGGCATTCTCTCTCTCAGCATCCACACAGATAACGCCATCACCAAGGAGGGCTTTTCAGCCAATTACAGCATCCGAACCAGCTCAGACTCATCTCAGCCGCACCAAGGTTTGTGTGAGACTTTCAGTTTCATTTCAGTTCATTTTGTACAAATATTTGATCATTTGTCAATTCATTATATTTGTCAAGACTATTTTTCCCATCTATTTTTTAAGGCTTCTCTGTATAAGTGACCTCTCTTATGATTTATTTACTTGAGAAAACAAGTTGTAACTCACCAAGTTAGTTAACTAGCATAAATACAGTATATATACATATTAAAAAATTTTTTTTACAACAAACAAACAGACAAACAGTTCCTATCCCTCCCTAAATGTTGATAATTTTTTTCGGACAGCATCCAGGTAAGGTTACACACCTGGAAGAAGTGGCTCGGACACTGCAAAGACCCTCCAAGCATTATTACCATGAACCATATTTTGTAAAAACAGTTTGAAGTATTGACACTGGAAAAAGCAAAACTGCAATTAGAAATACAGAAACTGGAATTGGAGAAAACTAAGCTGAAGTTGGAGCTACAAAACCTTGGACATGAACTATAGATCTCATTGACCACTGTCCAAGATTGAATTAATCATTTCATTGTCATTTCAAATTTTGCTGTTGACTTTACTTGTTTAATGTAGTTACATTAATGTTTACTATCTAAAATTCATTTAGCTTGCATATGTTATTTGAAGAATTAAATACTAGTTTTTCAATTGTTTTTACACATATTCTGCATCACATTTTCTTATCCATTGATTTGATAAATAAATCATATTTTGTATCAAGTACATATCAAAATAGTAATTCTTTCAGTTTTCTCAGTCAATAAGAAAAGGTTTTCTACAATCAGTTGTTGAATATAACGCCCAGGGCTGCGTTTCCCAAAAGCATCATAAGCCTAAATTGATTACAGAGAAAATTGGTGGCAATGGTTTCTACAATCTATTTACACTTACAATGCTTTTGGGAAACACCAACCAGATTTATCTTCATCTTTAGACTCCACAGCTGGTTCTGCAAGCATTTGATCTTCCTCCATGTTTGGGAGTGCAAGATCTCAATTAAAAGGAAAATTATCTTTAGCTCTGTGGGAAATGGAGGCAAAAGTTTAAATTACAGTTAAATTGTGTTTATTACGTTGCCATGTTGTGTAAAACAGTGCATGCACAGATTATGCTCTTTTATTTTAAAAAAATAACATGATTTTTTAAATATAATTTTCATTTTTCATGGCAGGATAGAATTATATAACATACATTTTTAAAAATCAAGTGACAAGTTTTTTTCTAATTTTATGACAGCGTTCATGTTACTTGATTTATATATGTGAAGGTGAGAATGAAAAGAGAACTGCTGTTGATATTTTTGCGCACTCAGCTCACTCAGTCTTGGGCTTTTATTAAACCCATCTATCAAGTTTTCAGAGAATCACACACTGCTTGAGACTGTTAGCAATAATGTGGCAATAATGTGCTTGATGGTACGCCCATGATCCTTGGAGACCTGAACCCAGCTCGGATTCACCTCACAAATCTGTGTGTGCGTGCTTTCAGTTCAGTGTAATAAAGTGCAGTGAGGCTGTCCGTTTATAATTCATCTTCATCCCCCTGCCACACAGGGCAGAAGGGTCACACGGGTCACTACATCTGTGGCCAAACATGAAAGACTAATATTAACTTCCTATGGTGAGAAGAGAGCAGATCTGACTCTCTTTCTTTCTCACACATACACACTTAGACAGACATAGATATTTACTAAACCTAAACCTTCTGACAGTATCAGATTCATCAAAGCATGATTTATGGGTCTGTCAGATATTACTTCAAAATCATGACACTACTCACAGTATATTTGTGTGTGTGTGTGTGTGTGTGTGTGTGTGTGTGTGTAGGTGAGTGTATGTCTCCTTTAGGGATGGAAAGTGGTGAGATCACAGAAGACAGGATATCTGCATCATCACAGTATAATCCCAGCTGGTCTCCGCTGCGCTCCAGACTGAATTTCCCTGACAACGGCTGGACGCCGTCAGAGGATTCTGCTCGGGAGTGGATACAGGTACAAACACACACACATTCTCTAATTTAATTGGGAAAGACTTACCAGACAAGACATGACCTTTACACTTGTAAAGTCACACATACATACTCAGATGTATAGACAAAATATAAAAAAATAACTGAAGTTGTATAAGAGGGTACTATGAGTGGATACTTGTGTTTGGCCTTTAAAGACATAGTGCACCTGAAAATGATAGTACACCCCTGCTGTTTATTTTGGGCTTTGTATTGGACAGTGCACTGTTGTATCACGAAATTATAAAAGCGAAATGGAGAGATGGGATAGAACATCACAGGTCAGACTCGAATGTCAAATTGGATATTAAATATTCAATATTGATCTAAATTAACATGACACTACTCACAGTATATTTGTGTGTGTGTGTGTGTGTGTGCGTGTGTGTGTGTAGGTGAGTGTATGTCTCCTTTAGGGATGGAAAGTGGTGAGATCACAGAAGACAGGATATCTGCATCATCACAGTATAATCCCAGCTGGTCTCCGCTGCGCTCCAGACTGAATTTCCCTGACAACGGCTGGACGCCGTCAGAGGATTCTGCTCGGGAGTGGATACAGGTACAAACACACACACATTCTCTAATTTAATTGGGAAAGACTTACCAGACAAGACATGACCTTTACACTTGTAAAGTCACACATACATACTCAGATGTATAGACAAAATATAAAAAAATAACTGAAGTTGTATAAGAGGGTACTATGAGTGGATACTTGTGTTTGGCCTTTAAAGACATAGTGCACCTGAAAATGATAGTACACCCCTGCTGTTTATTTTGGGCTTTGTATTGGACAGTGCACTGTTGTATCACGAAATTATAAAAGCGAAATGGAGAGATGGGATAGAACATCACAGGTCAGACTCGAATGTCAAATTGGATATTAAATATTCAATATTGATCTAAATTAATTATTACATAAAAACTGAATATATATATACAGTACTGTTCAAAAGTTTGGCATTGGTATGATTTGTGGTATGATAAAAAAATTATTACAATTTAAAATGACTGTTTTCTATTTTAATATATTTTAAAAGGTAATTTATTCCTGTGATGGCAAAGCTGAATTTTCAGCATCATTACTCCAGTCTTCAGAGTCACATGATTTTTCAGAAATCTTTCTAATATACTGATTTGCTGCTCAAGAAACACTTCTTATTTATTATCAATGTTGAAAACAGTATTTTTATGGAAACCGTGATAAATTTTTTTCTGTTATTTGCTGAGTGTTCAAAAGAACAGCATTTATTTGAACTAGAAACATCTTTATTGTAACTTTTGATCCATTTAATGTGTCCTTGCTGAATAATACGTTTTAGTAGTAATTTCTTTCTAAACTAATTCTTACTGACCTGGTATAAATAATAAAAATGTATACCATTATATTTATAAAAATAATAAAAGTTTGATTTAATATCATATACCTTGCTTTGATTTAATATCCAATTTGTAGACATTTATGGGATAGATGTCAAATCTGCGATACCACTTTAGTCAGACACAGTCACTCATAAATACACAAAAGGAAAGGGTTTTCCTGGCTCTTTGTTTCTACAAAGAATTTGACTGGCATGTTGTCATTCTCACAGCAGTACATGCAGGAAGGGTTTCCTCTCTGAAAGAGGACATTTATGGAGCAACTGTAGACAGTGCTTGCGCTGACAGTATAGGCCAGCATTTCTGACGATCCAAGAAAACAGACACACATCTGGACAACACATTTCATTCTGACACAGACAGAGAGAGAGAAAGAGGGCATTCCTTCAAATCTGATCATGAGGTTCTAGCACTGATTTCTTTTTAGCAGCAGGAGTGAGTTGAACTAGTAAAAGGTCACTGCTTTCCTCTGAGGTTTAGTGTAAGATTTTAACCATTAAGGCTATGGAGTTATATGTCTGATATTTAAAACTGTAATGAAGTCTACAGAAACTTAAATCCCTAAAATGTAATATGCAAATATAAAGTACATTTGTATGTCAGATGTTAAGGATGTAAGTTTTTATGCAGAATGTAAATTTATTGAAAATTCTCTGCTCATCCAGGTGGCTTTATCACTAGTACAGTGGTGGAAATTTGAGTGGAAACTCACTGTTTACTTCATAGCAACACATAACTTTGTATACATGTACACTTCAAATGTTTGAGGTTGGTAAGATTTTTCAAGATCAAAAATGCAGTAAAAATAGTAATACTGTGAAATATTATTACAATTTAAAATAACTGTTTTCTATTTTAATATATTTTAAAGTGTAATTTATTCTTGTGATGCAAAGCTGAATTTTCAGCATCATTACTCCAGTCTTCAGTGTCACATGATCTTCAGAAATCATTCCAAAATGCCGATTTGGTGCTCAAGAAACAATTATTATTATTATTATCAATGCTGAAAACAGTTGTGCTGCATAATATTCTTGTGGAAACCATAATACGTTTATTCAGGATCCTTTGATGAATAGAAAGTTCCAAAGAACAGCATTTATTTCAAATCAGTATCGTTTGTAACATTACGAATTCCTTTACTGTCAATTTTGATCAATTTAATGTTGAATGAAAGTATAGATTTTCTTAACATCTTACTGATACTAGCACATATAATGAATATAGACTACATTTATAGTACATTTTAATACCTTATAGTACACTTTCATTGTAAGGAAAGGAATGAATGAATGAAATGGCAGAATTTTAATGTTTGGGTAAACTATAATTTTAACCTTACTCAGCCAGGTCTCATAAGAATGGTGAATTGTTGTTGGAGTCATTGCCCTTTTGTTGAGAAGCAGAACGAATGTGTAAATTGAGGCAAACTATCTGGCAAGCAATGTCGAAGCTTTTAGAGATGGCTGCTCCATTTTCACTTAGATGGCCTCCTTCTTTCCTCTCTCAAACCATCTGTCTTCCCTGTCCAAATTCTTCATATTCCTGCCTTTGAGCAAGTGATCCATGTCCCGGGGCACTTTTGAATCACACTATGTCTTGTCTTTTGGCCTCAGTCTGGAGACTATCCCAAGAAAGCAAAGCGACATGAGGGTCAGTAGAGTATCATCTTCCTCTTTCCTTATGCCTCTTCTCTTTCCTGCTTAGATTCTCTATTTCTCTCTCTCTCTCATACCCACCAATATCCTGTTTTCTACAAAAAGTGTCCATGTTTGTCTTTAGATCCTGGCATTTGAGGGGCTCTGCTTCTGTCCTGCCATTGTTCCCTCGTTTAAGGTTGTTAACACTTGTTGATCTTGTTAGTGGTGGCTGGCTCCAGTTGGCAGCTCGGCCGCTTCTGAAACGGCACAATATTGAAAAGCAATTAGCCTTGTAATACCTTCCTGTTCAGAGAGAGAGAGAGAGAAAGAGAAAGAGAGAGCGAGAGAAAGGGATGGCAGCAGTGTGGTTTTGGTGCATCTGCTCACTGAGACTTGGGTGGAAACCAGTGGGAGAGAGATGTGAACTTTTGTGCCAGGAATGCTTGCATTGAGCCAAACGCTCTCAATAGGCTATTTATGCACACTTCTGTTGCGCCAGTTGAGTTTATTTTATCTCAAGAGTCACGCACACACTCGAGAGACAGACAGTAACTGACATGCTAGATTTAATGCAGGAATTGCTCCATGACAACATGATTTGTCATTCTGACATGGATCTTTGACCATGTTTTAGTTTGATGTGGTCATTGTTACTATAAGTTTATTGGAGGTCTCTAGACCCTTTGAACAGACTTCTTGTAATACTTGAGGAGGGAAGGAAATGAAGATTCTCGGAACCCGAAACACAATATAAGACCATGATAGATGATGCTTTGAAAATTCTGAGGGTGTGTTTTTCAGCTTCATTGGCCAGTTATTGTTGTAAGTGATTCAGATTACGACAGAGTGTCAATATAGACATAAATGCCGAAGGTTATGTTTCACACACAAGATTAGAAATACCACTTAAGTCATACAGTGGCTAGTATTAACAGACCTAAACTTTTTGTAATAAAATAAAATGAGATTAAGTAATGAAGTGGTTAATATGAACAAGTGGCTGCCAAGTCTGGTTAAACTGTATACATTTGATATTGTGTTAATTTGTTCAAGGTGTTCAACACAGTGGGAAGCTCATTTTTTATTATTGGTTCATATTTTTCTTCCAGCAATTATTGGCTGTAATTAAACCATATTCATAGCTTGTGCTGTGTTCTGCTTAGTGTGTGTGTGGAATCTGACTCAACATGATTTTCCGAAGTAGCACATGTTCCTGGGTCAAAATTCACTGGTTCGTACTAGAACAACATTTCTATCTATTATAGCTTTAACCCTAAACATACCCTCCAAAAGCAGAGAGAATCCCAGTCTTAAACCTAAAATGCTGCTCGGTTGGGATTTTAGGAATGTTCTTCCATGAGGAACAAGGACGTTAATCCAGGAACATGTTTTACTGTGGTAAATGATGTTAAGCTTTTAGCCCCCCCTGTCCAGACACTGCACTGCACTGCTGCTATGCAGTGAACACACCATGGATCATTCTAACGATCTGACAGTGAATCAGTGCAGTGTGATTAACTAGCAGTTACATGACAACTGCCAAAAGTCCAAAACAACACATTAACACACAAAAACACTCACCAGAGAGTAACAGCCCTTTTTTACAGTCTCTGTCTGTCTCTCGCAGGTGGACTTGGGTTTCCTGCGGTATGTGACGGCCATAGGAACACAAGGTGCCATTTCAAAGGAAACAAAAAAAGCTTACTACGTCAAAACATACAAGATCAGTGTGAGCTCAAATGGAGAGGACTGGATTACCCTGAAAGACAAAACCAAACAGATGGTGAGTATTTCTTTTTTTGTTATTATTATTGTAATATTAATATAGTGTATTTTGAATGTCTTTGATTTGAGTTTTTGATTTTATATACACTTATGTTCAAAATGTTGGTGTCAATCTTTTAATACTTTTAATTCGGCAAGAATGCATTAAATTGATTAAAATTGAAGTACAGACATTATAATGTGACAAGATTTTATTTCAAATAAATCTGAATTAATATAAATATGGTTTGCACAAAAATATTACATGGCACAACTGATTTCAACATCAATAATAAGAAGAATACATTTCTTGAAAATCAAATCAGCATATTAGAATGATTTCGGAAGAATCATGTGACACTGAAGACTGGCTGTTAAAAATATTACAAATTATACTTTAAGATATATTAAAATAGAAAACAGTTATTTTAAATAAATGCAGCTTTCGTGAGCATAGGATAATTCTTATTCTTTTTTGTTTTTGATAACATTTATATATATATTTTTTTTTGTATTTTGTTTATTAGTTTTTAATTATTTTATATGTATTATCATGTTATTACTATTACTTACATTTTTCTGTCTTTGTTTTAATTGTGTAGATGGTTTGGCAATTGTGTATAAAACAGTCATGCCAATAAAAATGTTGAAGTTGAACATTGGAAAGGAACAGGAGAGGAAAAAGTGTTACATGTGTCATCTCTCTTTTTCTCAGGTGTTTGATGGAAATCAAAATCCCACAGATGAGGTACGTGCCAGGCTGCCCAAACCCACCCTCACCCGTTATCTACGGATACGACCTCAGACCTGGGAACAGGGCATCTGCATGCGTTTCGAGGTGTACGGATGTAAAATATCAGGTATCTCATCACACACACACTTACAGCAGAGGGTTTTTGTGGTGAGATTCAGCCATGAAGTCACTATGAAATCCCAGCAGGTGTTGCAGTCACTCTCAATTCCCCCAGATTCGCTCACTCTGTGTGTGATCATTAGAGAATGACTCCCCTCTCTATTCACTGACACCTAATACTGACATCAAGAGGTCCCATCTGCATGTGTGTGTGTTTATTTTAATAAATTCTCACCATTTATGATAGGTAGAAGTAGCCTGTATGTCTGTTTCCTGTGGCTCAGAATATTGGTGCGCCTTTCATTAGAATAGCTCACATTCTCTCTTCTTCTCTCAGATGCTCCATGCTCCAGGATGCTTGGAATGGTTTCGGGTCAGATTTCGGACTCTCAGATCACAGTGTGGCCATCGGCAGAGAGGGGCTGGCTTCCAGAACAGGCCCGGCTCCTAACCGGCCGAACGGGCTGGGTGGTCGCTCACCCGCAGAATCTCGGGAAGAACCAGTCACTGGAGCTGGATCTAGGGGCCCAGCGGATGGTAACGGGTTTCATCCTGCAGGGAGGGAAATACAGAGATGTAAATATTTTCATCAAACGCTTCAGAGTTACATATAGCACGAATGGAACGGACTGGAGCCACATACTAGAGAAGAACAGCAACAAAGTGAAGGTACTGCATGTGTAAAAAAGCCAGAGAATGATAACTATAACGATATTAACACCCACGTCAATGGACGATAACATTCTGTTTATTACAACCACTCACTGCATTTATGTTGTACCCCACTTTAAATGCTCAAGCTCTTTAAAGTCTAGTGGATTCTGATTGACTGTCAATGTTTTTACCGTTCTTCAGCTGGAAAAAATTGTTCTGAAAGTGATTCCAACGATATTGTTTTTCTATCATTAACGTTATTGCTGAGATCTGGACTTCCCTATTCTTGTAGAATTGGAATGATTAGTAAAATGCTGTAATTGATATAGTTATTGTTATGGTTAAGGGTCGCTCACACCAAGGATGATAATGAAAACCATAACAATAAAGTTTTAATATTTATTCTAATTCGACAAGAAGAGGGAAATCCAGACAGCTATAACAATAATGACACAGAAAAATTGTATCACTGGAATCACTTTCAGAACAAATTTTTCCAGCTTATGAACAATAAAAACATTGAGAGCCTGTCAGAATCCACCCGACTTTAAAGAGCTCGAGCTTATAAAAGCAGTGGGAGAACATACCTGCATTGCATATTTAACATTATCGTCTATTTGTGTGGACACTAATAATAGTAAACATTATAGATATCTTAGTTATTATTCTTGGTGTGTATGAAATGTATTTTTTTTTTCATTTGTTTAAGCAGACAGACACAAAATGTTCTAAAAAATCGTATTTTTTCCCCCATTCAGGTGTTTATGGGTAATCAGAACCATGACACACCAGAAGTACGTACTTTTGATCCAGTTCTGATGCGTTTCCTGCGTATCTACCCTGAGCGTGGCTCTCTTGAAGGCACTGGGTTAAGGCTGGAGGTTTTAGGGTGTGACCTGCAAGGTGAGTGACCAATCACAGAGCTCAGAGGAATCTCATCCTCAGGCTATCTATTCCAAATGAACAAGATTGTTTAAATGGTGTATAATTTGTGAAAGCTTCCTTTACCTTAAATAACTTTTATTAATCTCTTTTCAGAGCCCACAACGCCTCTTCCCCTCACCACCACCATGGAAACTACAGTAGCTACCGTCAGTAGCGCTCCAGGGAATATTCCAATAACCACCACTATACCAATGACAGTGGAGAGTTGCGATGATGATGGCAACTGCCATAGTGAAGCAATGACAGACTATGATATAACAGGTTAGATACACACATGCATTCACATGTTGTTATATCATTAACATCTATGAGCTAATTATGTTGGCTAAGCCATAACACTATCTCAGCTCCTTAGAGAAACCTTATTGTATTTTTAGATTTTAATTAAGACATTATTTACTCTCTTTATTATGATGTTTTCATAATAGGGACTGTTGGGAGGTCCCAATAATGTTGGTAATTTCAGGTTTTACTATCTCTGTGAGACATTTAAGTCCCCACAAGGAAAGCGAAACCTCATATACACAAACATCCACACAGAGACGGACTATGACCCAAAAGGTTACAAATACAAACACCCACAAAGCGAAATACAGACCAACTACGACCCAGCAGGTTACGTACGCTTAGCAAAACAGCAAAATGCCATGACCCATAGGTTACACACAAACAACAACATAGACTTGATCTATCAGATTACACAAACACAAATACACGTTTATCATTTCAAACACACTGCAGAATGAAGACAATGAGCCTCGTTCACTAATAATTTGGATTGTTTCGTATTTCTACGCACAGGGGAGCTTCTCACAATAAATGTCCAGCTAATTCACAGCACGTGCGTATGCACATGATTTGTTCATTCTAAATGTTAATTCTAAATGAACAGCCATATGTCCCAGGTTTGTCATTTGCATTAAAAAAAACACCTAAATCATCTCCATATAAGGGCTTTCCACATAACTTTTCTCAGCCTTTTGTCACTCTCTGCAAACATAAGACGCTCTCTAGAGATGCATTCTCACCTGAGAGACATGCAGCAAGATCCTCAAGCAAAGCCAAGTGTGCCATCCTTAAAACCATTTCAAACACAATAAACCCCTTTAAAACAGACCCACATTACAGAGCTCTCTTTAGCCAGCTACACAAATGCGTATCTGTGTTGTTATACAGAGAAACCTCGGAGCTCAAACTGTAATGCAGCTTCTCACTGTATATGATGAAATATGTTTAAGATTAAATGTCTATGTATAAGATTTCATCTTAACATGATTATAAGCCCATCCACAGCACGTTATTTTTGCATGTGGTTTCAGTTGTTCCTACATTTAGTGAATGACAGTGACTCAACATGAACCAAATACATAAACATACAGAACATGTGAATGGAATTTAACTAGTCTGTATTTCATTAACTCTTTAGCTTTGACTTTAATAGCACTTTCTGCATTTTGATTTCCATAGAAACTGCAGTTGCAGAGCCATTTCTGGAATTGGAAGCAGTACCTGGTGAGAAACTACATACACACAAAGTAGACAATTGATGGCAATAAAATTTGGAGTGTTGCTGGTGTCGTAAAAAACTGGTCCACACTTGTTGGGTATTCTCTTTAGTGGCTGATTATAATTCCTACAAAATCACATTATGATATGATCGGGGATCATACGGATACTTGATTAGCCTGACAGAAATTAGGAACATAATCCTCAATCTCTCTCTTTGGGGTGTTCCATATTGAGCACAAAGAAAATCTCTACTGCCACCAAGTGTTATGCTGCATAATTACATGATATAATCTCCTGCTGCTGAACTTTGTAAAAGCCTTACGCAAAGATTCAAACTGCAGATAGTCTGTTACTTCTGACTGTCACCTTCATGATGTCTAATGACACTTTGTAACTTGCCAAACAGCATAAATTCATGCATAACAAGGAAATTCCTCCTTAAAAAAAACACTTAAAACATCGACACCACAGAAACACGTCAGTTGTGAAAAGATCATGGCTTCTAAAAACTGCCTTTCTCTATAAGATCATGAGGTTTACTTTATTTTTTTAAGCATAACCTTATAACAATAGATTTTGTTTTACAGATTTATACTTAGAACAAGAAAAAAAATTGCTAATGAGAAAAATATTTAATTCAATTCTCAGTTCAAGACATATTTTCTGAAATCTCTGAATTTTGCTTCTCAGTTAAATGTGTCTTGTTTTAAGGATGCTTAGCTGTTTATAACACCACAGAAACACATTGGATGTAAAAAGTTCACAGTTCCTAAAAGCTACCTAGATCATGAGATTTACTGGAGTCATGGGAGAATGTGATATCTAGATACAGTGCTGTGCAATTGGCCACTGGTTATTGGTGATTTAGCAGATTTCACTGCAGTAACTATTGGCGGATACAGGCTTGCTCAATGCACTTCACTCCCCTTTGGGGTTTAAACCTACAACCTTTTGAACACCTGCCCAGAGCTTTGACTAATAAGCATAGAGGGTGTTCAGTACCATACTGTAGCTTAATTGAACATCTTTAGTGGGGTTGAATGGAAGTTGAAGTAGTGTTGTTTGTGTTCCTGTTTAGCATATATCTGGTTTGCCTGTGACTTTGGCTGGGCTGATAACCCCTCGTACTGTGGATGGAGCCAAGATGGAGGTGAAGGAGCCGAATGGCATATAAATAACAACAGCAAATACGCTGATCACAAACTGCCTAATCTGGACCACACAGGTACGAATAATTGACTTGTCCATTACACTAAAAGGAAATATAGATTAATAAATTCCTAAGCACTTTTAATACATCAGAACTAATTTTAGGTTAAAGAATATTGAAATAAAATGATTGCAGGAAGAGGAAGTAATTTAAGAAACAGATGCATTTATGCGTTCACAACCTGATGGCTCCTCTCTTCTGTTTCAGGGATGCCTCACAACTTCATTTACGCAGGTTCTTGCACAAACACACAGATAGAGATCGAGAGAAAAACTGAAACGGAGACAGATGAAGAACTGGCGAGAAAAGGAAGAGTGGCAAGGCTGGCCAGTTTGCCGGTCACGGCCCCAAATTCAAACCTGTGCATGTCATTCTGGTACCATTTCACTGAGAAACACAAAGGAACTCTGAACATCAAGCAGAAGATAGAGCCATTAGAGGTGGAGGAGGAGAGAGAGGATGATGAAGTTCTGATCCGCTCTGTGAATGGCCAGATGAAAAGCAGATGGAGGGAAGGAAGAGTTCTGATTCCCAGTGCCGACACTCCTTATCAGGTACTGATGCCCACTTTATGGACAGAACATCCTGATTACAACATGATACTAACTCTTTTTCTGTGTGTGCATGGTAGGTGATCATTGAGGCTCAAGTGAATCCTGCAGAATCTGGTTACATCTCACTGGATGATATAAAGATACTGGATGAAGTGGATCCTGAAGAGTGCAAGGGTATGTTTAGCCACACCCCATTCAATTAAGCCCCTCCTCTTTTCTATTTGGCCAGCACTACTTTTATTGGCAGATTCTCTCACCAGTCAGTAACCTTCATTAATATGCCTCTGGGGTATTTTGCACATCACCTGCATCTCTTATATTAATAACTGAATGATAATAATAGTCCTACCACAATAATCAAGCACAACAGTGACCACCCACTTTTCAGTGATCTTAAAGAGATGGTCTATCCAAAAACAAAAGCTGTTGTTCCAAACCTCTGTGCATTTCTTTCTTCTGTGGAAGAAGATATTTTGAAGAATTTTCATCTCCTTGTTTGATTGTGTGTTTATGTTTTAGACCCAGATAATACAGAAGGTGATGAAGATGAAGTTGATGAGATTGGTAAGACCCACATTTTTATTGGGAAAGCATTACAATAAGACCCAATTTAATGATTTATTGCATGGCTCTCTATACTTAAAAAATATATTTTCTTAATCAGTATTTGTTAAAATACACTGAAAAAAATTGATGTAGAAACATTTTTACTCAGAAAATGCTAGTAAATTTCACAAACAGAAGTGGCAAGTAACACAATTAAACGGGACATTTTTAAGTAGAAAATTTTAAATAGTATTTCCTTGTAAAACATACTCCAATAATAGGTTTTATTTGCAACTTCGAAAAATCTAATTTTACAGTGTACATTTACTTGTCAAGCAAAATTGTATAAGATGTGAAGCCCAATGGCAAAGTTGTTCTTAAATACTTTGTCACTAAATGTCAATAAAATGATTAAAGGTCACAAAAATATGTTTTACAGATATACATTTAAAACAAGAAAAAATACAAGTGGAATAAGAAAAATATTTAATTCAATACTACATGTATTTATTTATTTATATTCCTTCTCAATTAAATGTATTTTGTTTTAAGGATGCTTAGATATTTTTACTGGAAAAAGGACAAAAATAATCATTGAACAAGGTTTTTTTTGTTTGTTTTTTTGCTAAACTATATAATTACAGTCAAACTTATATCACCCTGTTGAGATTTATTTTTGCCATAATGACCAACTGACCGTGTATATTCTTTTATATAATGTAATTGAGCTTGTTTATGCAGGTCTTCAAAATCTCTCTGTTTCTGTCTCTTGTCTCTCTCAATAGTGAACTGTGAAGGGGCTGACAATACCTTGTGGAGTTTTGGACGCGGCTCCATGCTGAAGAGTTTAGACCCCATCCTGATCACCATCATCGTGATGAGCGCTGTGGGAGTCCTGCTGGGTGCCGTGTGCGGGGTGCTGTTCTACTGCGCGTGCGCTCACACTACAAACAGGAACCTCTCCGCTCTGGAGAACTACAACTTTGAGCTGGTGGACGGAGTCAAACTTAAGAAAGAAAAACTCGGTGCACAGAAATCTTACACAGAGGCATAAGGAATGCTGGATGAACCCAGAAAACAGTTGCGGGACAATGTTGGAGGAACGTTCTTAGAACGTTTGACATTTCTCAAGGCGGAGACTGAGGTTATGCTCAGGATGTGAAGGAAGAGGGACTGGCCTCTAGAAGGCGCCGTGTATAGATTGTACAGCCAGACGTGATTGTCTACTTGTTTGTTTGTTCGTTTGTACATTTGTTGCTGGTGATGAGACCAAGACAAAATGATGTATCCTCTCACAAAGTTGGATTTTTTTTCTACAAGCCCCCTTTGCAGAGCTGTACACAACTGGGTTTTCAATGTTATTGTGCTCATTTATGCTTGGAGACGTGTTTGTTCAGTTGGTAACTCACTCTTCATTCCGATGGTGCCTTTAAACGTTTGTTTGTTGCCTTTTTACAAATAGGTTCCTCCTTACACAGACAGTCATTTGCTCTTGAGAACAAACTGTTCACAGATACAGGCCAATACAGGTCAGAGGTCAGTATTGCATCTAATATATCTCAACAGAACATACGCACGACGTCTATGTCAATGTTAAGTATCTAGATTCGGTATCGCTTTTATTAGGTTCATCTTCACACTATATATATTGTAAAACAGCAGTTCATATGACATTCCTTGAGTCAGTGTTTTTTTAAACAAAGGAATATTAATGTGGAAATCTTCTTTCAGCTGCCCATGTGACATGTCTGTAAACTTGTGTTGCCATGGTATCGAGTGACATCATGTTTCAGAATGGCATCATAGTGTCTGCAGACCATCTGTGAAAATAGTGTCTTCTAGACTGGACCCCTCCTGATCAGGAGACGCTGGGGAGAAGCTCACTCTGGGAACGTCTGGGAATGGAAGCGGAGACAAAGCAAATGAAGCATCTGAGAGCGCTAATGTTGGAGCATCTCCCCAAGGAAATGCATTATATTTGAAGCATGTAACAGGCACAAACTGATCCATGCTCTTAAGCATTGACAGGACAACTTAAGAAAGACGAGGCGACAAGTGCTGACAAAGGCATCTGGGTCTATTTCACACACAGCAGGAAAGCAGTTTGTTTTCAGCAGCTTGAAGGAGACACCAGAAACTTTTCTCCCACTCAAATGAACCAACGTGTCATTTTGCACTGAGAATTATATTTAATGAAAGATTTAGATAGTAATAAAAGTGTTAACTACTTTAAATGGTAAGAGAAGTCCAACTGTCAGTGTAACAGCTCACTTTTTTTAATGTTATTTCAAATGAAATGGTATTTTTCTTAATTGTAATAGTTGTTTTTGTGTTCTGAGGAACTGAAGTGACACTGAACTGGCTTTTCATCACAAAAAAACTCAATTTCACTTGATGTTATGAAGTCCGATCTGTCTGGTGGCTGTTTTGTATTCACAGTTCTGTGATGAACAGAAAAAAAAAGAAGACGACTGAAGACTTGTGTCTCTCAGCATCTGACCAATTGGATTTATGAATTTCTCAACAACAACAACAACAACATTCCAAAGAGCGAAGTTAATAAAGTTTTTATAAAGATTTTGTTTGAAATAACTACCTTTATATAGAGAAAGAACGTGTTGTTTGTGTATAGAGTTTATTTAATTGCATCTTTATTTGTTTTCTAATTTCACTTAATGAATATGAATAAGAGCTTAAAGCGACCTTGAAAGAACAGTTTCAAAATCATTGCCGGTACACTGAGTTAATGAGGCCTTCGGTTTCTTTCCCGTGCTCTTTCAGACTCGCTGTCATGCAGTGTCCGTTTCTCTGCCACTAGATGGTGCTGCTCTATAAGGTCATCGCGACTGCTGTTTTATCTCTCCGTTCCCGAAGCTGAACGTTGCTTTCCCACATCCGAGTTAAATCAAAATAAAGTTGTGTACAATTAAACTAATGAATTAACTCATGCCCTTTGGTTAAAACCTTCAAGTTAATTGTATCGCTAATAGGGAAGTTAGGCAGAACCCGTATTGTTTTGAGCTGCAATGGTGAAGTTCGTTGTGGTGTCGTCAAGGTAACACTGTTGACTAAACGAGAGCGAGCGTGGTGCGGTTTCACATCCAAACCGCTCCTATCGACCACTGAGTTTCGTACTGTGTGTGTGTTTGCATTAGTTCATCGGTGAGAATGTCACCGCTGTGCCACTTCCTCAAAGATGTTGCTACAGATAAACCAGTAACCACACAGGCAGCACTCGTGCTGGGAGGATATGAATGTTCCCTGTCGCTTATGTGATGCATTCTAAGCTCTTTCTGAATGTATATGTGCTTACAGAATTGGTAAACAGTCAGCTATGATCAGCTACACTGGGTGAGCGCTGGGATGATCTCAATCCAGTTAACCTTCATCATGGTCCGTCTGTAAACACTGACTCATATGGCTGACATATTTCTTTCCACAAACAGTCAAACGCCATCCATAGACAGATTGTCATCTCCTCTCCTCTGCAACCCTTCATTTCCCAAAACTTTCTGGAAGCCAAAAATTGTTCAAATATGATCTTAAAATATCTTATTCAGCTTATATTTATAGTTTTTCCTGCTTAATCGATATGGTCGTATATCATCTACAACGTCTTGATTGTAGATAAAGCTGGTAGCTAATTATTTGTTTACTCTTGTATACATCCAGTTCACTTATTTTGTTTATATTTAGAGTGAGAGAGAGAGCATTTTCTAATCATATTTGAATTTCACACACAGAACAGTAATGTAGTTTCCCTAAACAGGAAATGCATTAAAGTACATATTTTCACACCTTCAGGCTCTGTTTGCTTGCAAAGCAGGTGTTGTTTCCCACAGCGGTTATCCCTTATCATGACAGTTTCAGGGTTATTTTAGGGTATCTGGCCTTTGTTGCATTAACTGTTTTCCCCGGTTTTCTCATTGTTCAGCTCAATGCAACTAGCTCAGTCATGAATAAGAATTCAACTAGTTGCTCATCTTGACTAGGAAAGTCAACTTGACTGCAATAAACTTGACGTTTCCTCAAGAGTATGAGTTCTTATCACTGTTTAGACTATAGTCGAGGTGTGTAATGATGTCTAATCACATTCGGTCTTAAATGGGACACACCGGAAACTGTCCAGACTCGCTTGCTCTGACTAATCCTCGACCAGCAGTAAAACCATGCTGAACTGGATTTTTTCATAAAAGTAAACAAAAGAGCTCTCTGTCTGTGAAACCTTGAGCCTAGCTGAATCTAAATCAAGCAATAGCCTACAGCTCAACCTGGCAAAGACTGAGCTTCTCGTCTTCTCTGCCACTCCAACTCTACAGCATGATTTCACCATCCAGCTAGGTTCATCAACAATTACCCCGTCAAGTTCGGTCAGAAATCTTGGTGGAATCTTTGATGACCAGCTGACTTTCAAAGACCACATTGCAAAAACTGCTCAATCATGCAGGTTTGCATTGCACAACATCAGAAAGATGAGGCCCTTCCTAATGGAGCATGCTGCACAACTTCTTGTCCAGGCCCTTGTCATTTCTAGGCTGGACTACTGCAATGCTGTTCTGGCTGGACTTCCATCATGTGCAATCAAACCTCTACAAATGTGACCCGTGCTGGCAAAATTAGTCGGAATGCGCACAGGCTAATTTTGAGCTACAGGCAAAAAAAGTGAAAACTTTTGAGGTTTTCACAAAAATGGGTTCATTAAGCCCTCGTCTAGCGATCCCAATGCTCCAAATAATAATTTTAGATGTTTAATTACCTTTATTTGTACATTTTCTGAGAGGAGTACCATTTCTCCGCTCGTTTCTTGAGCTGATCTGTCATGCTTTCTTTTGTTTTTTTTGCATCTGTTCTTATTTATAATAATAAAGCTAAAATAAAAAATGGCTATATTGTGATTATTAATATAGTAATTATCATTAACTCGATTTTTTTCAAAATTTACTTTGCTGACTCTATCGACTACAAACAGGTGTAGCTCAGTCATTTTTTGTCCGATTCCAACAAATCATATATCATTTTGAAGGTCTTTTAATGGAGAATGTGAAAATTAAAATAACTCATTTTTGAAAAATTGCTCATTGTGATTAATTTTTGCCAGCACTGGTCACAAATGATTCAGAATGCAGCAGCAAGACTGGTCTCAGCGAACCCAAAAGGGCACATGTCACACCTCTCTTTATCTGCCTGCACTGGCTACCGGTTGTGGTTCACATCAAGGTCAAGAGATTGATGCTTGCACATAGAACAGCCATGGGCTGAGCACCCTCCTATTTCCACTTCCACTCACGAATCTACATCCCCTCCAGAAGCCTGAGCTCTACAAGTGAGCGACGCCTCATGGTACCATCAGGCACAAAACCACTTTCCAGAATATTTTTCCTGGCTTGGTGGAATGATCTTCCCTCCCCCATCCGGAATGCTAAATCCCTGACAATTTTCTAGCGACACCTGAAAACTCATCTCTTTCGTCAACACTTGACTGCATCCTAATAGCCTATTTAAAAAAACTTTGCTTCTCTTTCCTTAATCCCTCCCTGTCTAGTTTGTACTAATCTGAACAATATCTGAAATTTTGTATTACAAGCACTTCCCGTGTTTATTTGCCTTTTTTATGATGAATCGCTTTATTGTATTCCTCAGTTGTAAGTCGCTTTGGATAAAAGCGTCTGCTAAATGAATAAATGTAAGTATCGCTTTTTATTTCTCCTCTTTCCTACTACTTGTTTCACTTCTGTTTCAGTTTTTTATAACCATTTCTTACTATGTGTCAGTAAGTTGTTGTTATTTTAGCATGTGTGTTTGACTCAGTGTTTTTTTTTAGGATTACTGATAAACTAATGTAGTTTGATTTGTATTAGTTATCTATTTTAGTTTTAGTTACAGTTGTATGGAGGACGAAACCCGCAAAAACAATAAAAAAATAAATACACAAATAAATAAATAAATATGATCCTCAAGCACGTCACACACGATCCGCCTACTCTTGCATAATAGGTTGTTTGCAATCACGTGATTCTGATGACGCGCGAAATGCAGCTGGAGGGCAGGAAGTGATTTTTCTCCATAGAAGACTAGCAGAAACTCAAAATGCCAGTGTTTTGCGTTGTTTTATGGATGCTCAAATCGGACAAACCGAGAAACCACAAGGAGCTTTTATAGCTCACACATAGACACGATGTAAATAAGCTATTGTTTGTAGTTCACGGAATTGTGAGATTGCGATCAATTGAAGTGAGTGACAGCTTTTTAGTGATTAGCGTTAGATGATAGGCTATAATCGATTCAGAATTTAAATAAAAGTTGTTTTACGTGCTGCTAACAGGACCAGCAGCCACTTACCCTGTACATGCAGCAGTTTCAGGAGTGACATATATCCCCCATCCCTCATATAAATATGGGATTCACTTTCGAAATAGCTTGTTTACAATCAGGGTTAGTTGCTTAGCCTATATCCATCGCCTTAATGGCAGGCAAGAATTTGAATTTAGTTTAAAAACCTTTATAACATATTGGTTTGGCCAATTTAAGCATCCATGAACAACGCAAAACACTGGCATTTTGAGTTTCTGCTAGTGATTCCTGTGGAGAAACACGAGCTTCGCTCCTCCCGACCCCAGACACAGGTTTACAAGCCACTTTTTCCTGTGTTTTTCAATCAATTTCTTGACTTTTCCCCACTTATGAACAACACATTTTCGTACACAATAAAAGCTCCACACCCTCTCATTAGCATATTGCGCAGAGGGGGAAAGAGGAACTACATTCAGAAATAAATGAGTGATCAAAGGAAAATAGTTAGGACGAGTTTAGCATTTCCTTAAACATTTTCCATTTGCCCACCAATTTATATTATTTATTTACCTACTTTCATCACATGTATAATTATTTATGTATTTAAACAAGAATACGTGTATTTATGCACACATTTATTTATTTGTGTATTTATTTATTTATTGTTTTTGCATGTTTCGTGCTCCATACAGTTGTAGTAATGTTGTCATTTTATTGGTTTTTTTATTATGTCTATATAGGTTTTTTATCAAGTTTTAGTTTTATTTAATTTGAGTTATTTCAGTACTTCAACATACAAAATGGAAATGAAAGAATTCCTTTTTTTTTTTTGCTCTATTTATTTGCTTGGTTAGGGTCTTTGTGGATTTTGGTTCTTTTGCTATTGTAAGCTGAAATGACCAACTCTACGCAAAGATTTTTGAAAATTCTTATCACAAATTACTAGAAAATAATGGTAATTTTTTTTTTTAGCACGAATAGATGGTTTTGTTTTCTGTTGTCTTTTAGGATGGAGAAATACTTGTTTTGCAGTTCTGTTCTCTGAAACATCTCAATCTCTTTTTTTGGACAGAGTGGATTTTAACTGCAAATAGGTGCGGCTATTTTTTTCTCTATCCACTAGAGATGAAGCTCCTATCCCTGACTGAAACAAAGTTGTTTACTGTCATATAGAAAGAGCCAGAAGTGGCAGACTGTGGCTCCTCCTGTGTTCTTGTGTGTGATGTTGTGCATGTGTGTGCACGTTTGTGTCTGTGTAATGCTCCGTTATTAACAGCATAGTCCCACAAAAGATAAGAAAGAGGTTGGATCTGAACATGTAAGGGCAACAGGATAAAGAGTGTGTTCAAATCATACAACTTTAATGACTCTGTGATGCAGATTGAAGAGGATTCATTGAAATGATTTTAGTCGTTCATTCATTATGATGAGTGAGGCATGGACAGACAAAAATGATGTTGAAAATGACATGTTCCATAATTATGATCATACAAGTCATAATATACATATAATCTTTCTGTTGTTTATCTAGCAAAAAATGCAGATCCATCAAGTGCTGAATGTTAAAGTTGTTAAAGTCTATTTTCTAAATGCATTACATCTTATTGTGAAATATTCCATAGTTTGTTTGTTTTTTGTACCTCCAGATATTCGTTAAAATTACACACTTCTCCCTGATGACACATAATAATTATATATAATAACATAATAATTTAGTCCGATAAAACCATTCATCTGCCCTAACTTTGTAGTGAAACATTGTAGTGTGTCTAGTTAACAACTGATGCATAGAAGCAAGACCCCACTGTACATTTCAATGTTGCACTCGGATGTATTCATAATGCAGAAGAAAATATCAGTGTTTCATCGCAACTTTATTGTAGGTGTTCAGGGTCTGCTATTATGCTAAGCGTCTGTATAAGTAGGGTGACGTGTAACCTGCTGTTGTGAATATGACTGATAAAAGTCAGTGTGGGTGGTGAAGGTGAGTG